TGCCCTCGCCCTCCCGCCCTCGCCCGCCCCCGTACCGGCCCCCGCTGCCCGCGCCCCTACACTTTCCCCTTCCCCCCGTCAGCAGCGCCCCTCGTGGGCGTCGGGCTGCAAGGTCACTCAGGATGACCCGGAGGGCTATCCGGCTAGAAGTGACATCACAGCGCCGGGTCGAAAAGAACACGAGAGTGAGGCTGCTGAGAGAGTTGGCACACAAGTGGGTCCCCCGGGGGCAAGACCCTCTCTCTAATGTCTAAAAACAGAGGGTTTTGTGACGTCTCCATTCACTGTGTGCGTGTACGGTACACCTCACCGTGTAGCCGTCGACACACACACTCACAAAGATCAATCGGTGGTGGAGGGCATATTGGGCGGACCTCGCATCTCCACGTGCCCGGACGGTGTTCCCGAGACCTGTGTCAGCAGCACAGACCCCCCGGACAAGTCGCAGCCGGAATTGGGTTCGGGACAGCAGCTCCGAGCTCGCGCGGGGCCCTCACATTGAGTAAAGTAACAGATGTCACACATCTCCGATGAGAGAGGCACGCGCGGGTCGCCAGCTGAGATTTACTGTGTTCGCCCACTTTGGAGATCCCATTTCAAGATGGCTCTTCGAGATTCACCGGGATATTGAGGCAGTTCCGGTGGCTCGCCCGACCGCGCGCTGTCTTTGTGTTGCAGAGCTGCCTCCACGGACTCGCCTTGGCATGACTGAATGAGCACTCTCTCGCAGCCACTGTGCCGTCGTGAGTACGACCAGCTCGTCCGCTCACGTGAGCGAGAGGACTTGGCAGTGACGGCGAGAGCCGCGCGGCAGACGACCGGGCGCGCGCGCTGTTGGGCACAGACAGTCAGACTCCGACAGACCAGAGACAGGCAGGCAGGCAGGAAAGGGAAAGAGGGAGGGAGGGAGGCTGCCCCCGCTGAGCCCCACAGTCCGCACCACACACGCACGAGTACAAAAACGGGTGGGGCACTTATAGGCCTCCGCGTTCAAAAATTAGGTTTTCTGTGGGCTTGTGTGGTGCTCTGTAGAGAGGTCAAACGGAATGACCGGTGCGTCATCTCGGCAGTGAGCGGCATTCACCTGTGCAGTGGTGGTCGTTGGGAGGGGAGGGGGGTAGTCTCAGCAGAGAGCAGCGGGGACGGGCATTGGTAGGGAGTTGTGGCGACAGACCGAAGAGGACAGAGCCGATTCATGTCACTCGGGTATGTGGCCGCACAGAGGAGCGAGACGCGAGACGCTGCCAGCCGGAGCCGAGCCGCAGCCGAGCCGCGAGCGAGTTGGTTCACTGGAGCCGCGAGCGAGTTGGTTCACCGCGGGCGGCTGCCGAACTCCACGTAGCGTCATCACTCCCAGGGAGCGGACACATCGAGACGGCGGCACACCCGCCCAGGTGCCACACCCATCTGCCATTAAGAAGCTGTCCACGTACGCCGGCACGCCTCGCACGTTCGTTCTGGTCCGGGAAGGGATTCACGGCCGGCAGCTACTGCCCACACGGGAGTTCGCGGCGGGTCCATGTCCGCCCTTCCCGCCCTGACCGTGTTGAAAGCGGCACTGCTCAGGTCAGCTTCTGAGTGGTCCGACTCGCTTCATCCTGATCTCATATTCAGTACCAGCGGCGATAGGCCGAGGCGGTCCGAACGTCCCTTGGTCGCACTTCCGAAAAGTAAAACATTCAGGGATTCGTGTCGCTTCCGATCGAAGTGATCGCCTCTGGAGGCTCCCAGGGCAGGTTATTCAGTGTACTCTCTCTCTCTCTCTCAGTGTACGTACTTTTAGCTTACTGGGAGAAAAGGCCGAACTCCACGTAGCGTCATCTCTCCCAGGGAGCGGACACATCGAGACGGCGGCACACCCGCACAGGTGCCACACCCATCTGCCATGAAGCAGCTGTCCACGTACGCCGGCACGCCTCGCACGTTCGTTCTGTG